TAACGAAATCGTTTTCACAAAATTATTTTTTTATGAGATCAAATTCTTATATTGTTTTTGTATTTTCGTTTTTATCATTATTTTCCTGTTTTCTACATATTTGTTTCATGTGTCATTTTTAATGATTTTTCCATTGTTAGTAAATAGTTTTCTGTTGTTGGTTCATGAAGTTACACCTACTTAATTCATGAAATTCCTCTAAATGACCAAATTGCCCTTTTAGTCAAAATCTCTTTCAATGTCAAACATTTCTAAATTATGGGTTCTTACGTTAGGGTTTCTGAGAAATTTACACGGTGCGTAAATTATGGTGTTTAGGCACTACAAGAAAAAGGTGCTTTTGTGACTAACATATCAGAAACTGATTAATCAGTCTTGGATACCATGCATCTGATGAGACTGATGAATTAGTCTCGGATACTATCTAGGACTGATTTGAATGTGTGAAACATTAGAGACTAACCAAACTTATTTGAGAGTAAAATTTAGTCCCTTATTTGTTTACGCTAGTTTAGGCTTGCTGTGAAACACATTAGGATTGAATTTTATTCTCGAATAGAGTAACACATTAGGGACTAAGTTTGGTCACTGATAGACTTGTGCTAGTTTTGATTATGTATGAAAAAATTTAGGAACTGAAATTCAGTCATTGATACAACTACACAAATTTATCCTCTGGATGAGAAACTTTTTAAAGACGGAATTTTAGTCCTAAATAGAAATGCACTTTTTGACTTTCGAATGAACACTTATAACTAACTGAATTTTGTATCTAATAGTAATTATTTAGTCATGGATGCCATATAAATCATAAACTAATGAATCAATCACGAACAAAAAAAAAGAACTTAGCTACTTTAGCCATATCACTGCACATAAATGACATTTATTGACATATCTTTTTGTGCTGCTGTAGAATACTTTTAGTGACACTTTTTCCATGCCACTTTAAAAATTATTAGATACAAGTTTTCATAGCTATTGGACTGCACAATATGGATTGTGAAATGACATCGACCTTTCTAGCGGGCATAATTACCAATGAAAAACACCACCATGTGACCATATTTGTTATTGACGGCAATTTGTTGAAGGCCTGGTTTTACCCGTTGCTTTTGTTGTTGAATTAGAAGATAGAGAATTGTGTGTTATGTTTTTTCATTGTTGTGTGTTGCTTTTTTATTAAAACACTCTTTATTTTCTTTGATTTTTTTCACAACTTTTAATAAGAAAATTTAATGATTTATATTCTTATTTCAACAACCTTATTTCATAATCAAGATAACCAAAATAAATGTAATTTATTATGGAAAAGATAACCATAAGACAAATTTATGTATTTTTAAAGTTTTTGATTTTTTCTCCGAAAAATATTGTTTTTTTATGAAGGTTGTGAATTGGGCTAACATGACATGTCACATCTTCTGCTACGTCATAGTTCATACCATATCAACATCCCCACCTTGACATGCCACATGTGCAGATGAGATGTTGAACATGGGTTTTTTTATTAAAAAAAATAATTTACGAGTAACACAAAACTTTTCCCAAAATATTGTGATTTTTCTAAAAATTTCCCTAAAAAATATGATCAGTTGTTATTTTTCTCAAAAAATGTGTAATTAAGTACATGAGTTTTTGTGTTAAAAAAATCTAATCTTTACCTGATAATGATAAAAGGGGATACTTTCTACAACTCAACAAAGGTTCCTTATTTTTCCTATACATTTTTTTCTATTTTCCTACGCAAATTAAACAAAACACTATGCCAAAAAACTACATAAATACACCAAAGAAAGAGCTAAGTTTCTATGATTATCATTCCATCCCAAGCAAGAGGGCCTTCAAGGTCTCCTATGATCTGGACAATCAGCAAATCACTCCACTGCTTGCATCCAGATCATTCTCATACTATAAAAGAACTACCCAAAAGTCATAAATCATAAGAACGAAGTCTTTAAAAGAATTTAAGTTGAAAAAAAAACTCACCATTAGCTTGTAAATATCGTTAGCCTTCTTTGGGAGAGATTGATATCTCCTGAATAATTGACGAAAGACATGAGGCTATACAACTTCCTTTTATCATCATATTCACTATTTTCACAACTTTCTTGCTTTCCGGTCAATCTCTCAAACATGTGAAGCTGTTATTTTAGCAATATCTTTTTTCCTTGAACATTCGTCTCCAACAGAAATTATATCCATGGATGCATCTTTCTTGTCTTCAAATTCCTTATCTGAGATTGAAACTTATTCTTAGGCATTACATGACCCTTCGTACTTACCAATTTTTGGCAATAAGACCAAATACCCAGATGAATTAAACCTATTAAGAATCAAGGATGACATCGATTATGAAAAAATCGAACAACTTTTAAGGAAATCCATTTGGGATCCAAAACAAAATTGAATCATAGAAATTCAAAACATACAAAATCAGAACTTTGATGAAAAATGGGTTGAGACACAAACCGGTTGTCAGCATTACCTGAGGAAATCATTGATAATGCTCTACTGAACCAATAAAGGGGTACAAAACCATCAGTTTTTCTCACAGATCCCATCGATAGTGGAAATTATTCTCGGTTCCGCTAAAATTGATTCCGATAACTGTGGGTTGGCCATGAACGAATGCATAAAACATCAAGAAAACGAAAGCTAGGGTTTTAATCGAATTTTCTTAGAGGCTCCGTCGATGCTGGGAGTCGTTCTTCGTTCACTATTGTGAGTCGTGAGGAAGAAGAAGGGCTCAGAGGCATGCACTTTGCATAAAAAAGGGAGACAAGGTTCTAATTTTTAGATTCCGTAAAAAAATAAAAAATAAACGCTTTTAAATTTTAGGCCAAAACTACGTAGTTTAATCGTTTGGGTATATAAGCTTGTATATGATTAGATATATTCACTTTTCCCGCACATAAAATAAATAATAATATTTTATTGATATCATATACAAGTAAATTACATTTTTCTATTTAAATACAATACTCATAAAAAATATTATGTGATTCCCAATAAGCATAAATATCCATATTTATTTGTTTGTGTGATAGAACCAGGGCCATACCTCACAATTCACAAACCATACAGACCAATTGTTCACTTTCATCAGTAATACTGCCAACATAAACTAAAAGTAAAACAATTATATAAGGACGGCACATTTGACACATCAGCTGTCTAGCTGTATGTACTATCAGATGAGATGTTGCTGAGTCGCTACCACTGTTGGATTGCATTTGACCTGATCTTCTTCTAACTATTCCAGTATTATTGATGTGCATGAATCCTTATATTATTTTGGTATAGTAGAGAAGATATAACAATTCTACATCAGAGAATGGAAATAAAAGTATATATATGAATACAGGATATAATTGAGAACCCTGCATTTTGAGGGCCTGATGATATTGGTAGCCGTTTCTCATTATCGGAGGTGTCATAGGAACAAAGGGGGTTGAAGCAGCTTCATTTGCAGTTGGAGATTGATTGAATCCTGTAGAAAAGAATGGAAATTAATGTATAATTGAGAAAGAAAAACCACAGCAGTGAAACAAATTCCATATATAGCATTTTCATCAAATCTCAAAGCAATTTTCAGTGATATAACTGGTAGAATTCAATGTATAGGCATATATCAACGCTGTCCAAATTACAAAGCAACTTTCATTTCTTCCTATTACAACTTTTTTCAATTTTCACTGTTATACTTTGAAAAATCTACCTAATTAAGATCAATAAAAGTACAAGCTATACTTGGCTAGATTTTTCTAAGCACGATGCCATTATAAGATTAAAATTGAAAATGGGATGCAATAATACACAAATAAATGAAAGTATGTTGCTATTTCTTGCATTTATCCTTAACATTACTGTTAGCTTAATTCATTTACATACCAACAAGTGAATTGCCCCCAATTCAACCTCTTCTTACGTTGTATTTTTTTTTATGTTTCCCATTTTTTGCAGTACAAGTGGATGTTAAGTTTTTATATACGGTAGCAAGCCAAAAGAATTATATAAAACATGCACCTTTTTCCCATCTTATCTGGAACTTCTAGGAAAAAAATCGGCTTAAATGCAAGAGAAAGAAACATACTTTCAACGATTTGTTTATCATAGAATCCTGCATTCCTACTCTTATTTTTCCTATTACACCATGGTAATTTGAAATATGAACCAAGTCATACCAATGTTTTCAAATACAAAGCAATTCTCAGTGCTATAAAAGAGTAGAACTTTCAAAGTATGATGTAATAAGAAAGAGATAAAAATACAATGATCAAAATTGGTATATTTTTAAAGTACAATGACTTAATAAAAAACATGGCGTTGTAATTAGAGGAAATGAGAGCAAGATGCTAAAATACACAAATAAATTAAAGTACCTTGCTACTTCTTGCATCTAACCGTAACATTTATGGTAAGCTAAATTGTAATATTCTTTTAGTGAATAGTTGATGGAAGTGCGAAACTAAAACAAGATAATAACTTTGAGAATAAACAAGATCTCTAGACACACTCGGACCCTAAACCCTAAAGCAAACCTTGTTGAGAGAATAAATAAGATCAAGTAGGATGACAAGCTCAGGGGACAGATACTCGGTGACAAGTTTACATAAAGAAGCACGGAATCCCTTTTGTCCAGTTGCTAAAGCAAGGACGCCAGTTTTCTTTATTAAATCATTAACAGTAACACATAGGGCATATAGTTAGTAATCACCATTAAAAGTTTACATATTCAATTAGCTAAGGCCTAAATGCAAGAAACAGAAACATACTCTCATTTATTTGTGTATTATAATAGTATTCTACTTTCATTTATTTCTATCACAGCATTGTTTTTTTCAATCTTTTTCTTATTAGAGCAGGGTACTTTGAAAAATTTGAAAAAAAAAATTCTCATTAGTGCATGTACTAATTATGGAATGTCTAAGCAAGCATATGCAAAGAAAGACATTCGTTTAATGAATACGGTGTTTCAATAAATTCAAGAGGCTCTAATGAAAGTTGAATACACTCATTACCATGCCCCTGAAGAATTTTGCTTTGTAGGTGATTCTTGTTATAACCTGCAAAAATGACAATATGTTAGGATAAATATGTGTTTATTAACCCAAAAGCATGTGTCATGTGATCAACTCTGCTGTGCAATAGGCTGTGTTTTTTGGCAGAGGAAATAAACACTACAAGAAAAATCCTAAATAGCTACGGAAAGTTACTATGCAATCAAAATCCGTTGCTATTTTACTACGGAATATGCTACGGAACGACTTGTCGTAGCTATTTTGCTACATAAATGGTTACGGAATTGCATTATATAGCTAAATCTTAAATAGCTACGTAAAGTTGTTACAGAATCTAAATTCATAGTTATTTTACTACGGAATATGTTACAAAATGGTTTGTTGTAACTAATTTGCTACGAAAATGGCTATGGAATTGCATTCCGTAGCTAAATCTTGAATAGTTGCTACGGAATTAAAATCCGTAGCTAGTTTACTACAAATAATGCTACAAGTTTTTTGGTTGTAGCTAGTTCTCTATGAAACTTGTTACAAAATCCATGTATGTAGCTAGTTGGCTACATAATTGGCTACAAAATAAAAATCCGTAGCTAGTTAGCTATGGAATTAGGATCCGTAGCTATTTTGCTAGGAAAATTTGCTACAAAATAAAATTTTGTAGCTAATCTATTATGGAATTTGTTACAAAAAGATGAATTTGCAAAAGAGCTACGAAATCAAAATCCATAGGTATTTGGCTACTGAAAATTCCGTAGTCAAGTAGTTACGAAATATGTTTCCGTAGCAAAATATAGAAGATTATTTAAAAATATATATTAAAAATACACAATTATCTTTGAAAACTCAACAACAAAAATAAAATATTATTTTTAATTGTTTTGAAAATTTAGTTATAACATAATTTCTACATTATAAAAAAAAGAATTAAAATGTTTTATTTTGATTTTTTAGTTAAAAAAGAATTATCAAAGGAATTGCCGCATAAAATTTGTTTCAATAATGTTTCAGCTTGTTTCAATAACGTTTCATTAGGGGCAAATTAGTAAATCCAGTAACCCCAATTTACTTCCTCCCAAATTAGAGGTATTTTTGCTGAGTTCAAATCCATCGCCGGACACAGATCTCATCTCTTCCTCTCTCTCAACCTGCTGCCGCTCATGGAATGACACCAACTCGCAATTAATGAAAGTTAACCGAGAATTCGATTACTGTAATTATAAAGCGTCGACATCTGAAGCATACACGCTCTCCTCTGCTGTGTATACCCATCGATCGAAGTACAACCGGAGACGAGCCGAAGAAAAGGAACTGCTTTGGAACCACCACAGCCGGCGATAGTCGATTCTCGATTCCTTTTCCCCTGAAGGTGATGAACTGTTCTTTCGTTTATACAATTCTGATATGAAATAGCGAGTTACGATCCGCTGTTCTTATGCCCTAGATTTTCATAATTACGTGAATTGCTGACATTTTTGAGTCGTTCTTTATTTGTAAGGTACGAGACATGAACAAATCGTTTTGGATCTAGCCGTCTCTCCATCAATCTATTTACGGCAGATTGATTTTTTGTTTTCCATCTTTTTGCGGTTAGTTTCTGTTCAGTTTCGTATTATAAGTCAGTGATTAGGTTTTATTTGTCATACTTGATTTATAGTGGATGTGATTCCCGGATGCTAAGAATCGAGTCTTTTTTGGTTCTGTAAGGATCTGAACCATACTTTCGTACTTATCAATGAGATAGTGAGAAGTGATCGGATTCTCACTCTGTTCTTGCTCTTGATCGTGATTGATTAGTTAATATACATAATTGGATTCGATGACATAACAAAAAGTAGTCTGATGGTTACCCTTACCAGAAGAGCATCCCTTTTTGTCTTTTTGAGTTAACTTGGTATACCATCATTAATTTTTGAAAGGAAGCATTCTCACTGGTGTGTCATATTGCTAATGAGTTTCTAAATCTTCCAAGTTTCTCATCGTTAAAATACTGATTTAGGGAGTTCTTGATCATGCAAAGTTATTTGTCTAATGCATTGTATCAAGTATGGTCGCATCAATCTCTTATAGGCCAAGTACCTTCATACTCTACTCAAGAAAGCAACAGCTATCTTCACTTATCTAATTGTTGTCACCTATAATTCTTTCACCTACGACCTTATGAAGTTTTGTTCTATATTCTGTTAAATGTAGGCCAAAGATTCGGTTTCTTCCTACCAAGCAAGCTAGATTTCTTCTGAAATCACTGATTTGTAGTTCAGTAGTTGTGACAATGAAAGAACGCTGAGCGTGCTGCAAACATTGCTCTAGCAGGTTTGATTCCTTTTTGTTCGATTTAAACACACACACACACACACATATATATATATATATATATATATATATATATATATATATATATATATATATATATATAGCTTCTTCTTCAGATACAAGAGAAGCTTGGTTTTCAGCAAATGATTCCAACAATTTTATATCTAGATCAATCCCCATCACAACATTCAAACTGAACCTTTTCACAGATTCACCAACTAAAAAGTTAACAATTGTTTCCGAGATGTGGGAAAGAACATCTTGCAACACTCGTTTCAGGACCTGACCAGGTAATATTTGTTCCCTGTTTTGTATTGTTGGATAAACATGGCAGAGCTCTTGCCAAAACGGGTGTGCCCAACAGCCGGCTTCATGTTGTTGCATGTGTTTCTCATCTTCTTAAAATGATTCGCCCATCTGAAAGATAAATCACTAAGAATGGTGTTATTATGGTATATTAATCACATTGCTTGATAGATAAATTTAAAGCCTTTTGTTTCCTTCTATGGAAGAATGATGTATGCATGAAGGAAGTATTGTATGAATGAAGTATGAACAAACTAAACATGGTGGCTACTTAGTAATGAACAACATTGCAAAAATAAACAAAGTGATGACAACAGATAAAATTCTACTGTTGGCATCTCAATTATATGAAATATCTTTATAATCAGCATTTACCCTTTTATTAAATATATCAATTAATGATTTTTCTTGTTGGATAATGCAGGAGCCAGAACCCATTGATTGGGAGTACTACAGGAAAGGTCTTTCTTTACCAACAAACAAACCTATTGATTGGTAGTAATTTTAATTGCAGTTTTTGTGTAACCATAGAAATCATTCCATTAGGGTTCCAATTTTTATTGTTTTTCTAACTTTATTTTAGATAAAATTCAAAATATTTTATAGATAATTTTGAATTTTTGGTCCTATATCTTTTTTGTGTATTAACACTCTTGTTTAAAAAGATTTGAGTAATGGCCTCATTTTGTGTATACTATCTAGACACCCCTTTTTCCCTTCCTAACATTCCTTTGAACTATGTTATAATGTGCTAAGTTGGTGAAGGGTAAAACGGTCATTTATCATAATCAATTAGTCTTTATGTATGCAATATTTTTTTTTTTAAATTTGAATTTTTTTAAAAAGTAGTATACTTAAATTTTTAAAAAGGGTAAAACAATCACTCTACATTGTAGATTCCAACCTAATATGCTGTTCAAATTCCTTTTGTCAGGTATATACTGGATAACAAGTTTCACCTAACAACATTTCTTGAAGATGACACCAAATCTAATGGATATTCTTCAAAAGAATTGCCATGGCTTCCTGATATAGTTAAAGATTTTGTTCTTCCTGCTGGCTTCCCTGGTTTGTTCCTTTTTCATTTTCACCTCATATGGTATCTCTAATATTTTTCTTCTCTAATTGTTTTTTTTTTCAAAATCAGGATCTGTTTCAGATGATTACTTGGAATACATGTTGTTATAGTTTCCAACCAATGTCACTGGATGGATTTGTCACACATTGGTCACTTCAAGTCTTCTAAAGGCATGTCAATCTAACTCAAGCCAGTACTTCTGATTGGGTATCAATCTAACTTGCTACCTTTTTTCTAATTCTTCTTTCTTTCTTTCTTTTTATTAGCAAACAAACATTTTGATTCCCTAATCTAATTTCCTCTACTTCTTATTCCCTTTGTTTTTCATTTCAGTCATCTCTTTTTATTCTTTTGTAATTATCATGATCTTTTTGTTCTATGTCATTGTCTAGTACTTAAGGCTGAATCATAGATTTTGTAAAGGATAGAATATAGAATTATAGATTATAATGTTCTTTGATTATCGTTTTTTTTATAAAATTCTGTGAATTTATATAATACAGGCAGTTGGTTTAGACTATTCTTCTGGAACCACAGCTGCAGCTTCTGCTGCTGCCATCAGGTGATTTTCTATATAACTTGATACTACTATAATAGTATAATTGCAAGAATTTCTTTTTAGGGTTAAAGATATGATTATATAACTTTAACATATTTACTAAAAACATGTAGATGGGTGTCAAAAGATGGAATTGGTGCCATTGGACGTTTTTTCATTGGTAGGTTTTCTTCAAAATCTCATAAATGGATACAAAAACACCAAATTTGTGCATTAACCATGATGGATTTGCCTTTCACAGGTGGAAGATTTGGAAATCTTTTTGATGATGATCCAAAACAATGGCGCATGTATGCAGACTTCATTGGAAGTGCTGGAAGGTGACTAATGGATTTTTTCTGTTATCCACTTAATACCAAGTTTTTCTTAAAAAAAAATTTTAAATTAATTTTTTTCCCCTGTGTTTTAATGTGATATGCAGCATCTTTGATCTCACTACACCTCTCTATCGTGCATATTTCCTCCCACTAGCATCTTTAGGGAATCTTGCAAAGGTATGCAAATTTACAAGATTGATCGAATAAGAAAAGCATTAAAAGTTAAAAAATAATATTCATTTTCTTTGTTGTGTGCTTTAAAATTTTTAGATATTCATTTGATTGATATTTTTAGTAAAGGATCTTCTGAAATGCATCGCGAACAATACGAGGATAATAATGCCGAGACAAAAGTCGAGATTGAGAATTTGAAGAAGTTAGTTGAGACACAACGCGAACAATATGAGGATATTCAACAAAAATGTGAGGATGTTCAGCAAAAATATGAGGATGCTCAGAAAAAGAATGTGGAGTTTCAGTAGAAAAATGTGGATGTTCAAGCAAAGTTTGAACAACTTGCACAAGCAATGAATGTCATTAACACATTGAGTGAACAAGTCAAAACTTTTATTAAACAATGATAGAATATTATGTATCGAATAATGTTTTACCTTAAATTTGTAGCGACTTTCAATTTTGAAATATGTATCTTTTGATGTATTGGATATTTCTTTTAGTTTCTATAGAAATACTTTGTTATTTTTGGTTTAATATTAATTGTATTTTTGTAAATTGATATAATAAGTCAAATTAAATAACCGAATTTTATAGAAAAAATGGTATTGAACGATTGTTATGGAGTTGATTACAAAAAAGTTGTTACAGAATTTGCTACGGAATGAATGACTACGGAATTTGTTACGGAACGAATGACTACAAAATTTGCTACGAAACAATTAGTTACGGAATTTGTTATGGACCAAATGGCTACAGAATTTTCTACGGAACAATTAGCTACGGACCAAATGGCTACGGAATTTGCTACGGACCAAATGGCTACGGAATTTGCTACGGACCAAATGGCTACGTAATTTGCTACAGACCAAATGGCTACGGAATTTGCTACGGACCAAATGGCTACGGAATTTGCTACGAACCAAATGGCTACGGAATTTGCTACGGAACAAAATAGATACGGAATTTGCTACAGAACTCATTGTTACGGAATTGTGATGGAAGTGTGTTGTAGTTGAAATGCTACGGATAGACGTCGTAGCAACGGCCATAGCAAAATTGCTACGGAACTATAATTTTGTAGTTAAACATTTTGCTACAAGAGATCTTACTATGGAATCTCATTGGCAAATTCCGTAGCAACTTCCGTAGTTATTTAGGTTTAGCTACGGAATTACATCATTTTGCTACGGAATTTTTCCGTAGTTGAATCGAAATTTTCTTGTAGTGAAATATCTATAAACAAAAATATAAATATGTGTTTATTAACCCAATATTGGATAAATTTGAGCATGAACATTTGAAGATCCAACTCTTTAGGAGAACAAACCAATAAAACAAAAAGTATCTCCATTGTCATTAAAAAACTATAGAAACATACCTAACATAATACATATTAGAAATGAGCTTGTGACAGTTAGTTTCAGGATAAAAAAGTACCTTAGGGGCCATCCTCCAGATTGCCAGACTTCCTTTGAGAGATAGCTCTGAAGTGCATTGGCTCGTCTACCGAAAAGAAATAGATAAAAGATTTCCAAATGATTGCATAAAATCAAAACTTGAAATATGTATCACTAAAAACACTACCATTTGCTTATTATCAGCTTTAAGTAAAAAACAATACGTAAGAATGACAAATTACCTTTAAAGTGGACGCCTTCTCGATACAAATAATCATATTTAATAAAGGAAGGCATCAGAATTTGATATTTGCTTAGGATGTATTCTCCTGTTGTTAATTGAAATGCAGTGAGATCTCCACCAATAATGTGATTCCATGACTTGTAATAACCCAATACATCTTCTCCTTCTTCTCCATCATCATACACAAAACTCACCCCACACTCCTTTGTAACCACATCACCGTTAACATATTGACTCTCCTTCAGCATAATAGTAACATGGTCACCACATTCCATCTCATTCATCCCAAATATCCAATGGCTTAAAAACATCAAACAATTTCTACGGAAAAATAGCGATTCACGGTAGTGGTGGTATATCCAGGTGCGGTTCTTTGTTATATTACTAATTATGATCTTTGGCAAAAAGACCAACTCATCCTCTACATCCGGAGATGGAGATGTCAGCACATAGCAGAAATTCAATCCTGTGAAGTTGTTAGCAGATGATGAAATGGTAAATGATATTGATGGCCCCATGCTTCTGTCCGTAATCCAATTTGGCATATCTTCGCCTTCATAAATTGTGCTGAATATTCCAAATTCATAATACATCTGCCACATACAACCACATTCACTAATTGCTACATTAATAATATATATATATATATATATATATATATATATATATATATATATATATATATATTCACACAATGACAAATAATTATCTAAACCAAACCTGGATTTCAGATTCTTCCTTTTCTTCCAAGACTGTCAAAGTTCCCACACGCCTTTCGTTAATGAAGTCTGGCCTAGTCCAGCCCAAACTACGTAATACCTTTTCCTCCACACCTGCCATTGGTTGGATTTTCACCATGCCTTCAATCTCAAACGATGAAGGTGTTAGCATAACCCAGAGCAATAGGAGCTGAAGTGGGGACATTTCAGGATCAAATACAACTTTTCGCAGCGTAGGCTGACTAGAATAGAGGCTTAAAATTCTTAGTGTATGTGGAGGATGCTCGACTGACGTCATCATATTACAATTTGTCACGCTAAGTACCTCAAGCCTAGGAAGGTTTCTCACACAATTAGGCATGGAAACTAAAGGATTTTCATCCAAATATAATTCCTCTAACATGGATAGGCAACTAAAGTCAATGGGAAAGGACTCGGTGGACAAATTGTTATTTTGAAGTGACAAGTTTACTAAAGATGTCGGTAAATAGATTGTAAAGAACTTTGAATAACTTGGTATAGCCTCCAGAACGGTAGATGGAACAGCAGATTCGAGATTACAACCCTCCAGCAATAGTGTTTGAACCTTCTTTAACATGCCTATGATTCTTGGAATTTTTTGAAGTTTACTACAGTAGCTCAGATCAACGAAAACAAGTTCAAGACATTGCTCAATTGATTCACAAACATCAAGCAAACCAATGCAACCTCTAAGTATTAACTTCTTAAGTACAGGGAGGTGGTCAAAGCCACCAAGACTATGAAGTTGTTCACAGAAACTTAAATTCAGAATCTTCAATGATCCAAGCAAACTTTTCTCTTTTGAGCTGGATCCAATCAATTGCTGAAAAAAGATAAGTTACAATAATAGTGAATTTTATCAACTCGACATAGAAGAGTAATACATAGAGATAAGTTACCTTTAGCCTCTTATGAAATCGTTGTGGATAGCTATAAAATATCCCAAATGATTCAATATTGCTATATGACATGTCAAGAACAACAAAATTCTCCAGCGGTAACTCTGAAGGTATAAACTTCAAAGGGAACCCATGCATAAACAACCATCTTAATTCTTCTGGAAAATTCTTGTAAGAGCCGGTTATTTGCACATAATTGAGCTGAAGAAGCATTATCCTATCCATCTTACTCAATGCATCTGCTTTCAACTCAAGAGATCCATGTAACTTCTCTTTTTCAAGCATTCTCATGTCAAGGGTGAGGCCTAGAACATTTTCTATACCCTAAAAAGAAAGGGTATGCAAAAATATTTTAGAATGTTATAGCCATATATACAAAAATACAAAACGACTGGAACAAGTATACATGACCTCAACCTTTTTTTGTTTCAAAACTTTGAATGACTCCTCATGACAGCATAATCTACTTCGTTCCCCAGGCTTGTCAGGTGATTCTTCATGTATTAGGAATTTTCCCATCCCTTGAACCAACTGATGCATCATCAATTCGATAATTTTAAATTCATCATTCCATCTATCACAGGCCTTTAATATTGTTTTCGTAACATCTCTATCCATTCCAACAAAGAAACAAGCAATATGCTTAAACAACTCCTTATCATTTTTTAATGGCAAAGAGTCAAAGCTCATTCTCAATGCTTTAGTTACAGGTTGACTATTTTCATTCTTCAGCTCATCTATGTACCCCTCCCAGTAAGTTACATCACGATTGTGTAGAGACCTACCCAAAACTTTAAGAGCCATCGGATGTCCTTCACAATATTTTACTATCTTTTCTGACACCTCTTCGTAACCTACCTTGGGATCATTGCACATAAATGCATGATAACACAACAGTTTTTGTGATTCAATCGTAGATAAGCCGTCAAGCTTGTGCTCCACATACTTTGGTTTAATGTTCCTTTTGAAAAGTGCACAACTCTTTGTCAAGCATGCATTTTTTGTTGTTATTATAATTTTGGTTCCCGGATGAAAACCTTTGCTTCCAAGTAATGCATCTAATTGGTCAAGACTACCAATATCATCTAGAACTAGAAACACTTTTTTATGGGCTACTGCTTTTCGTATCATTGAGGTGTATGTAGAAACATCATGAACTTGAACTGAACTTCGTTTTAAAATGTCATCATACAGTTGCTTTTGTACATCAAGTATCCCATTAGATTTTTCATCACATCTCCCAGTGATATTTTCAATGTAACTGCTTGTGTCAAATTCATGAAAATGTAATGCATAGATATATTTGGCTAAAGACGTCTTCCCCATCCCACCCAGACCCAATATAGCGAGTACATCTGTCGTATGTGAAGATGCATCTTTCAACCATGAAGTGACAAATTTAATGGAATGATCCATCCCAATAAGTTGTGGCAGTGGAAACCTTGAGGGTATTTGTAATTTACGGAAGATGCCGTTTACAATTTCATCAATAAGCTCCACCTCTAGCCTGTAATTTGATTTTAGTAAGAACTAAAAGAGACAATCCAAAAAACTAACATAATGCCATATTGGATATTTAATATTTTTAAATATCCAAATCAAAATCATAGCATATTAAGCTATTCTTTGATTAAGTTTTTAACATCATAAAGATTATCGTATTTGCACTTTTAACTATATAAGCCCATAATGTGCAAGGTCATAATTATTATCTATAATAAGACAAGAGCCACAATTGTAATAGAAGATTTCATTAACGGGCCAGTGCCCACCAAAGTTTCAGTGTTTCTACAAAACCACCAAACTTAAATATCGTGTAGTATTGCATGAATCATAACAAAACGTTAGTCAATAGTTATAACTTAGCCTTTAATACTTACAAGAACATTTATTTATCATAATAACAGATGATATGATTTGAAGATGGAATGATATAAAAAATGGTAAATGAAAAATACAAGCATTCAAAATTTGGTTTATTAATGAAAAGCATATAAAAATCATTGATATGGATTATCGAAATGAATTTATTTCTGATAAATAATAAATGCATAAGAAATGTGTTAAAATTAGCAAAATGGTTAACCTTACCTGCCTATATGAATTAACTTATGTAATTACATAATTGCAAAGATTAGAATCAATTTCAAGCATTTCTTTAAGATATATCCAAATTTAAATACATCAAAAAATAAAACTACTTGATGATCATGAAGAAACGTATTGAAATGCATAAGGAAAAGATGCTATTGAACTTCATGTGCTAATTTATCAATATAAAAGGAGTAAGGAAATATGGGTTAGAACATGGTTACCTGCCATTTGCATCCTTCCCTTTTAAATCAGCAACTTCTGTAAGTGCCTTATTCCATCCATCCATGTTTTGAGCACATTGACATTTTTTATTTTCATCTGTCTCTGCCTCTATCTTTTGTCTATGCTTATCCATTGCATCTCCAAAGCTACTTTGTTGTTTCCTGACATGGGTGGGCTCCACATGATAAAAGATGGGAATTACAATATGTTTGGATGTCCTACGTTGCTCAAGGATCAACACCAGTTCATCAAGACACCATGTGGAAGCAGCATAGTTCCTGGACAACACTATAACAGAAGCCCTAGATGATTTAATTGCACTCCCCAATTCGGGTTTCAGATCCTCCCCTGTTTCAATCTCTTCATCATCCAGAAAGGTAGTAATATTGGCATGCATGAGGGCATTATAAAGGTGATTAGTGAAACTATTACGAGTATCAAGACCTCTAAAACTTAAAAATACATCATATCTATGACCATGAGTTGATGTAGAAGATGAAGCTCCTTCAAAAATTTCATGGAGAACAACCATTATGAGTTATGGGTTGAGGACCATTCTCCCTTCCCATTAAGATCTGAAGCTTTTTTTACTGACACTTTCCTCACTTCCGCCTCAATCTTAGGATCCCATACATACTGCCCTGGAACAACAATTTAAGTCAACCAAACCCTACTTGTAATTACAACATCTGAAAATGGCCAAAAGTAAAAGCATCTGAAAGTTGAAAATACCCCTGTTCATCAAGACTGAGTTTTTCTTTCAGGTTTGCAGCTATGAGCAATGATGTAGATGTTAAATTTACAAAGAAATCCCTTACCAATTTTATAGCTAATAAAGGAAGCATTACTTTATGATTTCGGATCTAGCATCTGTCCTAGCACAATCCTAATTATGATCATAGGATATAACATCGAAAAGAGCATCACCAGAGAATTTAGCAATATTACAATCATTGTGTTGTGAGTTGGAATATATAGAGAGAGGAATTAAGAAGTCAATGTTGAACTCTGTACTATCCCAACTGAAATATTCGAAATTTCAATCCCTAATTACTGTAAAAACAAATGATTATGATGTGATTTTTGATTAATAAGACATAAGTGTCTAACAACATGTGAAACTAACTTGAAAGAATGTTCATTAACAGTTACCTGCCTACAGCCTACAGAGCTACAGCGACACCTGAAGCAGCGACAATAGCAGACGATCCAACAGCCACGCCATCGAGAAGGACTTTGAGTGAAAATCCAGAGCGAACAGCGCTAAGTTGGCTGGTATACAGCGAGTCAACGAGGAAGGAAGGGAGACAGCGAGGTGAGAGCAGGATTTTGGGTTTTTTTCACGATATTTCCTTTTTCTAGAGTAAATTACATGATGGTCCTTCTTATTGTCAAAATATTACGTTTTTAGTCAAAAATAATTTTTGTCAAATGTTAGCCATAATAGGCATTGTTGCGGTTTTGGTCGGTGGTCACTTGCCAATGTGAATGTGAAATGTCTAAAATACATTTTGTTTTTTATACAACACCAATGTTTTATAAACCCAATAAATGGAATTACAGGTAATGGCATCGGATCGATCTATGGGGAATATTAATGAAGTTATATGGTAAAAAAGGTATGGTACCTTGACATAATTACATTACCCTAATAGGTATGTGGGACATACAATGTATTATTGATGAAAATGCTATTTCCTTGTGGATTTTATATACTTGGGAATGGGAAGATGTCATGGAATGGTTCATGGAAGTTGATGTACTTGAATGCTTGTATTTAAGCTGAAGTGTATGCTAGGAATTGTTGGATAGGAGTATGCTTAAATAGAAAGACTAAAGTTTTTGTATTGCGTTATGAAAAAAGAGGTGTTTACATTGTGGTTCAGCATATTATGGGGAAAATGACATATTAGCCCATTAAACTTGTCATTTTTGATTTAAAAGGTCATTCAATTGTTTTTTTGTTACAAAATGGTAATAAATCACGTATGACTGTTTTAAAATATCCTTTAACCCTTTACATTAGGTTAGTGGTGATGTGGACTTACATGTAGGATACCACAGTCCAATTGGAGTATTACGTGTCATGAACAGTATAACCCTTGGGGAGTAAGGGTTCTTACCTGGTCGGTGGTCCCCTTATATAAACTCGTATTCCCTTTTAGGTTAAACATCCTTAGTTTGTTACCCTTACAGAGCATCAGTTCTATACCCTTTGTCTTCCTTCCCTCTTTATAAATTCCATCCCTACCAACGATCATGGCTTCAGCAGGTAGCTTTTCGTACAGAGGATTCCACGCGTCGGACTTAGACATACCCACTAATAACGAGCTGTTAGCTATGGAGATGCAGGTCGAAATGGAAAACCTGAGAAACAACTTCACCGTGGAGCTCATCGAAATTAGGGAGCAGATTTCAGTGATGCAGAAGAGGTTCAATTTCAGTATGTGGATTTTGATTCTTGGAGTGGGTGCTGCTTTGAGTTGGGTTTATCGATCCTCGAAGTAGTGTGGGTTATCATTTTGTGGATGTCTTATTAACATTAGTTGGGTTTGTCTTGATATCGGTGGTAATGGTGTTAGTGGATTTAGTATATGTAACGTTGGTTAACTTATGTGTTTATGATGACTTATTTTGGGGTTTTTGTTCATTTCGTATGATTACAGTCATGTAATGGTGTTTTGGGGGGTATCGATTAGCCGATTACCCTGATTATCGTTCACGAATCAGTTAGTTTACCCAAAAGTGGTTTTAATGTTAATGAAAAATTTTCATATTATATTTTGGGCCCCTATATTTTCGATGTTTGTCAAAACAATTTTGTCACAACTAGTGAATTTAGGGATGCATGTACAAAACTTTCTCTATGTAACCTACGCAACATTACATTTAGTGAAATTCAAATTTCGATGCTATTAAGTTCCTACATTCATACGTTGTGATTCAAGCCGAAACAACCTCATGCAAGTCCAAAACTCGATCCAATTAGCCAAAACCCATCAATATTGGGCCTTAGCCCAAGAATTCTCGGCCCAAAACCCTTATTAGACCAAGACTCCTTCATTGGGCCCTATTGGGCCGATAACTTCTTCACTTGGTGTCGTTGGGCCAAAAGGCACTCTTTGGGCCCTAATGGGCAGAAAAACTTCTATTGGACTTTCCATTGGGCCGAAAACCTCTCATTGGGCCTTAGTGGGCCGAAAACTTTTCCTTGAAATCTTATTGGGCCATGTTAGGCCGAAAACTCATTTTCTTGGGCTAACTTTAGACCAAAAACTCCTATTGGGCCGAACATTTTATTGGGCCAAGCCAAATCAAAGCACACTATTTTGGGCCACCCTTGGGCCGAGAAGCCTCTTAGCTCGGTTGGTTTATAAAAAAAAATTAAAAAATTAAAAAAAAAAGAAATAAGCTTGGATAATAAGCATGACACCTCATAATTACAAATCAAATAACAATATGATTATTGATGGGTTATGAGCATTCTAACACTCCTATTGTCACACCCCCAAACCAAGGATGGCGGAAACGTCCGGGGGTGGAGGACTTCATGTATAGTATCACAACAACGAGTATAATAGTGCTCAAAGTAAATACAACCATCATAAATATAATTGAAAAAGTTATACCATAGTATGTTTTTACATGTTTCAAATCAATTACACTATGATGACAAAAATGAAATGTTTGACGATTTAACATCCCATCCTCAAAAGTTGTTGATTTCCTGTTTCACCGATTTCATGAGAATATAAGTAGTTTTGGAAAGAGTGTCAATCAATTAAGTTGGTGAGTTCATAAGAGTTTTATTTGAGAAAGAAATCGTTTTCCTTGTAAAAGCGATAGAGTATGATTCCAGAAAATCCAATATTTTCTTTAGTAAGTGCGACATGAATGCTCCTATGTTATGCAATAATGTACCCTAGGAAGATCTGTAGATTTCTTCTATAATGACCCAGTGTATATAAGTTATATAAAATTTAAGTTAAATAAACCGTCGAATATAGTGGGTCTGTCCTAGGTCCACAACCAAACAAGGAACAGGAAGTAAGGCGGGCCCACCAATTCTAAGTCGATTGCGACTAAATTCATATATAACTCTAACATGTACACTTAGCCATTATAGCTGAAGTCTAACAATTCTAGATGAAACAAAATTTTGATATCATGAAAGCCATTTAGTGTAAACCAGGTACTTTATAACGTATACTTCAAGGAAAATCCCTTATTTTCCTTATAAAAAGTTATCTAGCCTGAAATCCCAAGACCGAGAATATGTGTGTGTTTTATACTTATAATGTTCAAGTAGTTTTAAATAGATAAAACCCCTTTTCAAAATAGAATTTTCCCTGTAAACTGGAAAGATTGTTTAACTCCCTATGTGAGTCGTTATAACCATACTATGACGAGAAATAACCTGCAACAACGTTTTTCAAACGTCAGAATCTTATGACTCTTGTCACCCGCAGACCTGCCGGTCCGGCTGTAGCTAGCAGCGAGGTGTGGGGTGTCAATCCCAATATAGATCTATACACAATTATCACGCTCTCCCTACAAGAGACTCTGGTTATAACTTACAGGATTTTGAACCCGTACTCTTAGAGTACGATAGAGAATTGTCTCACAACTTACGTTAACTAGTTTACATATAGTTTGAGTATAAAACCTCTTCCGTGTGGAAGTGAAATCACCCTTTTATGAAATAAATTAGTGATATGAAATCCATAAACTATTACTATTATAGTTTATCATGTAGTATATGAAAAACCCATTTGTTTTGAGAGTAAAACCTTTTCCATGTAGTATGCTTTTATCGAAAATTCATGAACTATACTTATTGTAGTTTATTATATGTGTTCGAAATGAATGGAAAAACCTTAACATGAATGACTAATTTCTGTTTATGATGGTAAACTAACAAGAATGCATCCAAACATTTAGAAACTTATTGTTATGCACTTTGCTCAACATACTACAAAGTGTTGTTAATATGGTAAGCTATGTAACTAGTTTTTACCCTTTCTGCACTGTTTTGAAAACATCATAGAAAAATCATACGAAGTCGAAAACTAACTCCGTAAACTCTGAGAGTTTAGAAAATGTGTCTAGTTTATTCATAATTTTTATTATGATTTTTGGAAATCTCTAACTTATGTGAAAGTGTTCATATTCACAGACTGGTCCGAATTCGTTTCTAAAATGATAGGCAGTTTTGTAAAAATCACCATAAATCGTAGAAAAATCGTATGGAGATTTGCAAGTAGTCATTTTAAAGGTAAAAACCTGAACTATTAGCATGTCAAACAGTTTTGAAAAATTCAAGCTTAAGTTGGTTAAAACAGTTCGTGAACAGGTCACAACTTTTCTGTTGTAAGCTGTCAGGTTAAGTTTTGAATATGTTATGGTGTTTTAACTTGTATTCCCCCATGAAAAATAAAGAAAACTGGAAAATGTAGGGGTATGAACTCACCTTGAGTGATTTCTTGAAGAGTGGAAGGTTGAAGACAAGGAGTATCAAGTCAAGAACACTTGATGAACACACGAAGTTTGTGGATGATCCTAAGAACAATTTTGTGTTAATATGTGTGTAGATGATCCAAGAGTGTTATGAAAACATGTAATAGAACTTGAGTTAGAAGGAAGTACTTACCAATAAGTGAATAAATGACTCAAGAACACTTCAAAAGTGTGGCTGGAAGTTGAGAGAAAAGAGGCTCTCTTGATGGTTAAGGAGTGTATATGTGTTTTATGGAGAAGAAAATGATCAAGGAAATCCCCAGGCATTTCTTTATATGAAGGGTTGTTGGAGCAAGTGGCTAGGGTGAAGGGATGTTTGCCTTGGTTTGTGTGATGTGGATAAGGTTGGACAAATAAGAAGATGACACATGGAAGGAAAGTGGGCACACTTAATCCACTTGTGGGGTAAACATCTTTAGATATTTCTTTTAATGTAAAATATTGATTTATAATTAATAAATCCTTGAGAAATGAATAAAATATGAGTTTAGGGGGTTAAAATGGTAAAAATATGAACTTGGTGAAAAATCCCCGTCAAAAACGTCAAAAACGGGCTTAGGAAGCGAAAGTAGTCGAAAACCGGGCATTAAGGACCGAACCTGCGAGGTTCGGCTCTTAGAAGGTGAGAACCGAGAGTGGGAGAAGCAGGGGCCGAAGGGAGGCTCGGGTCCGAAGGGTAGGTCTCGGTTCCGAAAGTGGGAAGAAGCGAAATAGACCGAAGGCTCGGTCCATTTCGGTTGGAAAGTGACTTCGGCTCTGCTGACTTCGGCTCATGCACGGTTCGGCTCCAAAGGGGACCTTCGGTCTAGGCAGTTCGGTCCCATGGTGAATTTCGGCTCAATAAGAAAGTTTCGGTCCTCATGAGTTCGGTTCTTAAGGCTATGTTCGGTTCCTATAAGAAGGTTTCGTTTCCTAAGAAGGGTTTCGGCCTATATGGCTATTTTTCGAGAAATCTTTCCGTTTTGCGTGATTTTTGACCAAGTTAAGGGTCGGGATGCTGTTAGGGTCGAATTATGTTGTAATATGTCGAAGTCTATTTTTACCTTCGTATGTTTTACTAAGTTTATTTACTGAGGCTTATTTCGTATGTTGCTTAAGTGTCAATGCCTTAGTATTTTTTGTACGCTTTCACAGTTCCTATAAATAGGGAACTTTACTAGAGTTAGATAAGAGTCCTTTACAGAACCTGTCTATTTTCTCTGTAAAAGTTGAAAGCGTAATAGAGCAGAAACAAGATGTTATTTACTTCGTGTGTTCAATCTTCATTGATTTTTACTCTGATTTGATTCATACTTGATTCTACGATTCATCAATTGGTATCAGAGCAGGAATCACAACATGTGATCTGATTTTCACGTTGTTTCAAAAAGTTTTTGAATCAATTTTGGTTCAAAAAGTTTCCGCGCTTTTTGAAGTGAAAATTTGTTCTAGATCGTGATTTGTAATTCGATTCTGCAATCGAATTGTTTAATCGAGTGTTCTGTTAGTAATCTCCAATCAATTCTGCTATTTGTTTTCAAATTCTCATTGAATTCTTAAAAATCATCATCCGTACATCAATGGAGAACTTCAATCTCAATTCAATGACTTCTTTCTCTCATCTGCTCGGATCTTCAACTAAGATTCCGATGTTAATTCCTGAATACTATGATCAGTAGGCTGATCGCATGCAGGATTACCTAAATGGACTCGATGAAGAGTTATGGTCTTGCATCTCTGGAAATATCATTCCTCCTGCAAATGTTCAACCAATTGGATCATCTTATGGAACTTCTAGTGTCGAAAATCAAACTGATCGTCTGAAGAAGCTGGAGAAACGTTGCATAAGAGAATTGCGAGGTGCATTGCCTCCTGTTGTGTACAACTATGTGAGGAGTTGTACAACTGCCAAAGAGATCTGGAATAATCTGAAAGAGAAATTTCAAGGAAGCGAGAAAACAAAAATCAATTCTGTTAAGCAATGTTTGGTGGAGCTGAAGGATTTCAGACAA